CTACCATTTAGATTCTCCCTCTCTGCATCATGACCCCGAATCGCCCCCAAGCAGGAAGCCAGGGCAGTCACTGGGTTCGTTTCATGGGCTCCCATTCTCCCAGGATCAGAGTCCTGTACTTACTGATGCCTGATGAGTGGGAAAATTGTCTCATGTATTGGATCTAAGTTCTGACACATCACTCCCTCACGGTCTGAAAGCCTGATGTCAGAAATTTTAAAGCGACACAAGATGTGAATTGGGCTTTGGGAAAGAAAAATAGAGAAGGTGTCATTTTAATCAGAAGGTGAGCTTTCTCTGTGTGCTCAGAACTATGCCCGGTGCTATCGGGGGCATAGATATGTACCACTGTGTATAACTCCACAATACACATTAATATGTGGCGTGTTGCCATCTACAAAGAATGCTCACCTTCACGTTTAATTCTGAAAATAACTCTATTATTAAACCTTATTAAATCTTCAAATTGTATCATCACTCTTTGGAAGGGAATATGCTGTATGTCTCTGCCTTCTCTGGAGTTTTCCCATTGGCGCTGCTTTTCAGCAGCTTTCTGTGCCTCAATCTAGGCTGCGTTGTACGTGTGCTTTGTGGAGTTCACAGTCATTCCTGAATCTGATGTGTTTCATCATTTTTTGATAAGTGTGTAGCTGTTGTAAGTTCAAATATTGCCGTTCCCTCATTCTACCTCTCTCTTCTCCTCAGATGAAAATTACCCCAATATGAGCTATTTCTCAAATAGCTCCGGATTTTTTTCTCTCTTACCTCTTTTTCCTGTCCACACCTCAGTGAAGCTGTCTCCTTACTATACCTCTCTGTGCTTCAGGGTCCCCATCTGTGAGATGAGGGTACTAATACGACGCAACCCATGGAGTCGCTCTGGCGATTGAATGCAATGTGTTAATACCTGCCAATCGCTCTTCCCAGTGCCCAAAACATCACATTATCGTTATCACATCCCACAATGGGAAACATCAGTCTTGGACAGGTCATATAAACTGGCCCAGCCTCACGGATGGAATTTCCATCCTAAAAGCAGAGACGGTCTGAGGTGCACCTTGTAAGCTTGACCGACTGTGGAGGGCTAGAGAAGAGAGAAGCACATGTGCCCGGAGAACCTGGGGAGGCTGATTGGATGGAGATGGAGAGATGCTTCGGAAAGGTCCCCAGAGCAAGGCTGGCTGTGAAGGGCAGAGCCAACCGGCCGAGAGATTATATGGGGATATGAGGTCGGCCACTGCACGCCACCCCAGCCCAACGGTGGCTAAAACAAGACAGAAGTGTATTTACCTCTCACATAGCACAAGGGAGTGTGAGCATCTCATCAGAGATGCCCACCTAACAGAAAGGGCAAGAATGGCTTTGAATGCCCCCCCAAGATAATTGTGCTACAGCCAAGGAGTGCATCTCTCCTGGGAAGCGAGTCAGAGGCAGGATCAGCTAGAGCCTCTTCCTGGAAGGGGGGGTGGGGGGGCGGGGACCAGGGACAGCATGTCCCTGCTCATCTCAGGTAATGCGATACCAACCTCGTGGCCAAGCAGTAACGTCCTCCCTTCTTCAGCAACCCAGCTCACCCAGACACTCGTCCTGAGATGTAACTAAAAATGTGCTCCTCCAACACTTGCAAAACAACCTACGAAGAGAAAACCCAGCAGGTTGCCCCTTGCCAACCAGATAAAGCTCACTGTTCAAGGTCCACCGGGACTAAACCCCAGCTAATGCGTCCCGGTCCATCAGCTGCCTCTTCTCCGTAACCCAACACCGCGTTTTCCTGAACACCGCTGGGGTTTTGCTGAGGCCCCCTTAACTTCTCTGCTTTCTAGAGAACTCCAGGGCTCCCCGCATGCCACCAAGGCGGACCCCAGCAGTCAGCCCTTAATGCGTGGATTCATGAAGACTGGTTTACCACCTGTCCCTTCTAAAAAGTGTGTCTTAGGACAATGGGAGCCAAGTTTTCTCAACATGTGGACCCTCCTCCTCCAGGCGCGCAGAAAGGCACTGCTCAGTGTATGCGGGAGGGAAAGGGCAAATGCTGTGGACAAGGTGTGTGTCCCTCCCAAATCCATGTGTCGCAGCCCTGATCCCCGGTGTTACAGGGATTGCAGGCTGGGCCTTTGGAAGGTGATGGGGTTTAGCTGAGGTCGTGAGGGTGCAGCCCCCAAGATGGGACTGGAGTTCATCTAATGGGATGAAAAGACCGGAGCTCTCTCTCTCCATCGTGTGAGGACACGGTAAGAAAGGAGCCCTCTGCGAGCCAGGAGGAGAGCCTTCATCAGACATCAAATCACGCTGATCTTGGACTTCCTAGCCTCCAGAACTCTGAGACATAAATGTGTGGTTTCTTTTCTTTTTTGTCAGGCTGCACAGTCTACGGCATTTTGTTACAGCAGCCAGAGTTGACTAAGACAGAGAGAAAACTTCATTTGGTGGGCAGGGCAGCCATGAAAACCCACCAGGAGACGCGGTGGGGGCTGTGTGAGTGCGGCCAAGTGCACAATGCCAAGGCAGGTGCAGGACGTGACCATCCATCAGCTCGTCTGTGATCATGGCCCCAAGGTCATCAGATGACTAACTGGATCTCGTTATATACCGGGCTGGTTTCATGCCGTAGGTTCGTTCCCAGCGCTCCCCCACCCCCCTCGGTTCTTTGCTCGCTCACCACGACCTGTGTGGGAACTTCTGCACACTCACACACTCCTGCTCTCAGCAGCTTGAAATCAGTCCAAGAGCAGAAGAAGCAATCGCTGGCAGCTTCAGAGACCAAGCTCTGAATCGAGAGCATTGGCATTAAATAAGTGTATCCAGAAAAAAAAAATTATATAATACATGGAAATTAATCCAAGAAACAGGCTATGGTCTCCTGTGCCATGGGAACCCAGTGCGGCACAAGCCTGGCAACCAAAACGTCCACTATGGGCGCTGAAATTTAGCTAAGAGGCAGACCAGCGTTATGAGGGGCTCTCATTTGTCACTTTAAGCCCAGAGCTCCCAGCAAAAAACAATTGTCCTCTCCGTGTCACTCCACCTTTTCTGTTCCAGGGTCTAGCTTCATCTTTAAATAACGAAAATCTCAAATACCGAAAGAATGATGATTTAGATGCTTGTGAAGTCAGAGTGACCAGATCCTCAGGTCCTAAGAGAGCTGCGATCTTCCCCAAGGGCCTCCTTAGCAGGCGATCGACACCTGACGTGGCTTTGTACGCAGTCAGAGACCGAGCTGGTTTGTTGGGAGGGCTTTCCGCAAACACGGAGCTCCTGGGTTAGAAGGAAGCTTGAAAAGAAAAGCGTGCCACCCTTTCACTTTAAAGTCTGAAGGGTCAGAGATGCTTAATAAATGTGTGGTGACCGGGAGGGTGTCCCCTGGACGTGGGTCCCATTGAAAATACGAACCAACTCCTCCCCCTCTAAAGCTCTGTCCTTGAACTCACCGGGACCCTGCTGACCTGTACCTATCTTAAGAGCTCCTCTTACTAGGAGGAGAATCGGCAAACGTTTGGCATGGGATGTGGCATGGGATGGCTGGCCATGGGGCAGCCCCAGAATCAGGACAAAACTTTCTAAAAAGACGGAGCCAAAAACCTTGGCCCGTGGAGGACACGTTATAAATGGAAAGAAGAGCTCCTGCCTGTTTTTTTAGCTCTCATGTGGTTACAGTAGACATTTTGTATTGTTTTAACATGTTTTTTTGAATGTGTTTGAGAGAGAAAGCTTACATAACCCTCTGGACCGGTTCCCTAAGGGAAGAAGAAAGATTCAGTGTCGGCCCGCAGTTCAGCAAGAGCGGATCTTTCTCTACCTGGCCGGACGCGGGCTGGCGCAGCCGAATGCAGGCTGGTTACCTGCGCCGAGAGGGGCCCATCTCCCCAGCGTGACCATGGGGACTTCGTTGAGAATTGACTTGCAGCTATTTGGTTTGAAAGAGTCTCCCTTCCTCACTAGGAACATCTATGCCTCAGGTGACCAAACCAGGATTTTCCACAAACTATGTTAAGTGCTCTTTGCTGGAGCCTCAGCCTACATGGTGCTATTTTTGCAAACTTCTTGTGAGTCTTAAACGACTTCAAAATTAAAGGTTTGTACATAAAAAGAGTTGGTTACATTATCCTTACCTTTAAAAAAAAAAAAAAAAAAAGCTATCAGCACAGAGCCCGACGCGGGACTCAAACTCACAAACTGTGAGATCATGACCTGAGCCAAAGTCGGACGCTCAACCGACTGAGCCACCCTTGTCTTTGCAATTATGGAATCAAGTGTCATGGAAGGTGGGGTCTCATCCAAGGCACCCGGACACCGTGTATCAGTCAGGATAAGCTTGATCGTGCTGCACAGAAGAGTCCCCAACCTCGGCGACTTACAATGACGTACATGTGCCTTCCTCCACTCTACGTGGCCACCGGGGGGTCTGGGAGCTCTTCTGTGTGTCGGCGGCACCCTTTCTCCAGAGCACTGACCTAGGATGGACGGGGCAGCCCCCCGGGGAGCCCTGCGGGTCACGGTGGCAGGGACAGCGCCTGGGCAGTGGTGCCCTCAGCCAAGCAACCAACAGTGGGCAGAGAAAGGCAATCCTACTGTGCACAGAGAGAGAGCGCGCACGAGCGAGCACCAGGACCCCACACTAATTAGCGGGTGTCTCAGAGCCAGGAATGAGACCTGTGTGTATTTGATCTCACAGCCCATGTCCTTTCCACTAAGACACACAAACTCTGCGGTTACAGTCCTGCTTTTAATTCTAGAAGTTTAAATATTGAGTGTTCTAGCTTCTCTTTTTTAAAAAAAAAAAAAAAACAGTTAAAAAGCTGAGGCATAAAACATAAGTATCTCTTTTATTAATACTTACTTATTTTGAGAAAGAAAGAGAGAGAGAGCAGGGAAGGGGCAGTGAGAGAGAGAGTATGGGAGAGAATCCCAAGCAGGCCCCACACTGTCAGTGCAGAACTTGATGTGGGGCTTGAACCCATGAACTGTGACATCACAATCGAGTCAGACACTCAACTGACTGACTGAGCCACCCGGGTGCCCCAGGACCTACGTGTCTCTTAGCCCATGCTTGGCTTTAAGTCAGGTCTACTGAGCCCCTCCGAGAAGAGGTGAGTATCTGAACAGGCCAGATATTCAGTTCCATTTAAATAGCAGATAAACAACAAAATTGTTAGTATGAGTGTGTCCCAAATTGCATGGGGCCTTCTTACTTAAGAAATAATTAAAGAAAATTATTTATTGTTTATTTAAAATTCAAATTTAACCAGGCATCGTGGGGGGGGCAGTTATTATTTTAATTTTGCTTGTTTTGCTAAATGTATCAACCCTGCCCCAAAGGGGGGGGTGGGCATCATTCTGCCAGACAACACATGAAAGGGTAAGTACTGAAAAGTTAAAGTCACTGGGAAGTATGTAAGGCCAAAGGAGCACAATACCTGCAGCGAGGCCAGAGATGGCTCCCCAGATAATACTGCAAATTCAGAGGGAGATGCATCAGGACAATGTCTGTATTCTGCTCACCACAAGCTCTCAAAGGACACTGGTTTGCTGGGTCTGCGGAGCCCACTTCCAAATAAAGCCGCAGCCTCCATGGACATCCCGGCTCCACCACACTTGGCCTCTCTGACCCCAGATTGCTGGGCCTCATCGTATCTGACTCTGTTTCCCAACAACCAACACAGGACCTGCCTCAAAGACCTTGATGAACATTCCTCAGACAGAATTGAATGGGAGGGAGGGAGGAAAGAAGGGAGAAAGGAAGGAAGGGAAGGGAGGAAAGGAGGGGGGAGGCAGGGAGGGAGGGAGGTGGGAGCGCGGGATCTCATCTTGACTGAATACCCCTGGAAACCCCACTGGGGAGCCCAGGAACCCGTTCAGCAAGTGCCAACGGGCTGAGAGCACGCTGCTCGCCCTCGGGACCCCTGGGAACCCTTACGGCACCTGCATGGGAATCGGCAAACGGGGTCCTCTCTGGGCGGACATGGCTCCCAGATACAGGGGTTAACACGCAGATGACATCCTTGACTTGCGCCCCCAAGACCAGAACGTGCCCTCCCTTCCTCCTTGGGCCCAGCCCATGGCCCAGCGAGGGGAACAGAGCCGGGGGCGTGGCCCCTGCTTGCCTCTCAGTCAGGCACCCATGCAACCGGCACATCCGTGCACACCAGTCGGCCACCCACGCCTCTTCCAAGCCCGGCTCCTGTCTCCCCCAGAAAGGCTCAAGCACTGGAAGGTGTCCTGGGATGTGGACTTCCTCCTCCTGCAGAAAATCTCTTCTGCTCCTGGTTTGCACCTCCACCCAGTCAGGCTTCAAATGGAGGGACCAAGGGCCAAACCACCACAAAGCACGTGCGCCTGCACACGCCGTGATGGCTGGGCGTGAACTGCACGGAGGGCAGCAAGCCGATGTCTTAGATCGTTTCCAGAGAGAGCCGACGGAGGACACGTGTCCCCCGCCTATTCTCACTCGTGTGTCGTCTTCCTGGTGGCTTCGGTGCTGCGCAGAAATGATCTAATGAAACAAACCAAAGACCTTCCTGAGTGGACTGGGGGGGGGGGGGGGGGGGGGGGGGGCTGCAGCCGAGGCTGACGTTTATTCTTTAGCTAATTCGATTGTGCCTAATTATCTCATTGCTTTGCAAACCGGCCTTCTCCCAGCCAGGACCAGCTTCGGGAATGCTCCATAATTGCAGCGTTGCGCGAGGCGGTATCTTACAGACGACATGAGTAATCCTCGGTGCCCCGATTTCCCTGCCGTGTCCCTGAATGCCTCTCCGTGCGGAAGAGGACACTTCGGAATCCAGCCTTCTCGCTGAGGTCTGTGAGATATCTGTGGCTGCACCTCCCACCGTGCGTCACCCCAAGCAGCCAGCTGACAGTCTTCATCCCCTTAGATGACGCCCTGTTTCAAAGGGACCGCTGAGCTAAGTGGACAGACAGCAGGCGAGCCATCGGACAACGAAGTAACTCGAACGTCTCCCCAGGAGATAAAACACACCGAGAGACACGCTAGCCTGGAGCGACTTTCGGCTTTGGGGGTGTGACTCAATTGCTCGATTTCCTCAGCCCGTCGTTCCAGGTTTGGACAAATTTTCCTCCGTGCCTGTGCTGTTTTCCGTAATTAGGCATGTTTTCAAACACTCTAAAATCCCTCCGAACCTCAAAATTATACCCTAACGTCACCTCTTTGGTTTACCTTCATTGTAATCTGTTTTGGGAAAGTGTGGTTTTCGGCCATAGCGAAGAAAATTGTCTTCAGAGCCCGAGCCGTCTCTGGTAGAATGTTATAGTTCACCAAAGATCTGTTTCCATGAAATGTTTTCTAGCAGCCGGGGGCGGCTCGGCCAGCTGAGCTCTGCACTCACACACACCCAAGCCAAGAGTGAATTCATAGGACCCTCACTTCTAGGTCCTAAGAACGATCTGGTCCTTCAGCTATTTTAGGGATCAGTGGAAATTGTCCAACAAACAAATAAAGGGAAGCATGGAGGCTTTTTCTCTCTCTCTCTCTTTTTTTTTTTTTTTTTTTTGAGACACAGCGGCAGATTGGCAAAGGATAAGCGGTCTCCAGGATGGTCACACACAGCACTGAGGAGAGAAAGAAGGGGAGAAAAGGGTACCTAACCCAAGAGATTTAAAATCACATTGGGCAGGGAAAAAAAGCTGGAGTTGGATATTTAGAAGTCAGCTAAGGCTGACGTTTATTCTTTAGCTAATTCGATTGTGCCTAATTATCTCATTGCTTTGCAATCCAGCCTTCTCCCAACTTTTCTCTTTTTGTTCTGATGTCACTAACCCCAGAATGTTCTGTCATTGGATGGAAGAGTAGCTCAAGATGGAGAGGGGTATGGAACGCGTAAGAAACAGCATTTTTGCACACCTAACCTAAGGCTTAACAACACGGACCCCCTGCGGCTGACACAGGGGTGGGGGGTGAAAAAGGAGGCCCCCAAGCCACATGGCCTGTATCTGGGATCTGGTTCTGCCTGCTGTAAAGGACCGTGTGCCACTGAGCAGCCACTTAACCTCTCCATGCTTCGGCCTCCATTTCCACATCTGTAAAATGGAGCCAGTAGCATCATACCTACTCTTTGTTGAGGACAAGCCAGTTAATACATGGCAAGTGCGGGGAGCCATGGCTGGTATGCAGAAAACACTCATTTATGCCCTAGGATCCATGCAATCGCAGGTGAAATCTTGTTGTCAATCGCTCCTTAGTATGATCTCAGAGCTTTTGTTGATCGAGAATTGGGCTGTATGAAGATGGATGAGATTGGAATTCCTTCAGCCAGGCACACAGGCCTCTGGTCCTGGGGTGACCCGGCACGGTGACATTTGCTAACATTTTGGGAGATCTTCCCCCCACAACCCTCCCACGAACTAGGGTCATTGTTCCCACGTCGCAGGGAAGCAGACGGAGGCACGAAGGTGGTAGGCGATGTGCCTGCACAGCCAGAGTAACTGAGCCAAGACTCAAGGTCCCCCTGCCCGGAGCCCAGCCGTCCTGACCACAGACGGGGCACATCTGCGCTGACAGAGCCCACCGCGCTCACTGCCCGAGACCTGACTGCAGAGCTCTTGGAATGTGAGACGCCCGTGAGCGAGAACGGCAACTTGCACAAAGAGCTGAGCCACACGCATTGTGAATGCTCCTCCCGTGAGAGCCGCACGGGGAAAACCAAGGGGCAGACGGTCCAGGGCCCGGGCAGGAGCCTGGGTGAATTCCTCCAGGAACTCACAGAAGGTGGCCTCGGGGACAGAGCCCCGCCTTCTCCTTCTGGGGGTGACGCACTGAGGCCCAGAGAGAGCAGGGGCTGAGGTCCCCAAGAACCACCCTGCTGGGGGCTGCCCAAAGGCCCGGGACCCGGCCAGGCGCGGTGCCGGGGAGAAGCCCGGAGACGCCCCCCGGTCGGCAAACGGGAGAATGTTCTCCGCTCTGCACTGTTTCCAGCACACTGTATGCCAACCATCGAACGCTTCTGCCCATCTGCAGAAAATACATTCCTTCCACAGGGGGTGAGAGCTGGCTCCCTGCGTTAGCAGAAGGCCCTCCTCAGCACCTCCCCCTGGCTCCCCCGGCTCCTCTGCCTTCACCCTATATCTGGAATTTACATAATCGCCGGCAAATAAGATGAGAAAAGCACGTTGTCTCACAACGGGCATCTTCTTACTGTGATTATTCTCAAGGAACATCAGCTTCTGATTATAGAGATTAGTCAAAACCGTGCTTCTGTTGATTGTGAGGTGGGACCGATTTTTTTTTTTTCCCTTTTAACAAGAAGAGCTGTTGTTTCGGTGACAGAAAATTACATAAAACGGCGCGTGGAGGGAGACGAAGTTTCGGAGAGCCACTTGTCAGTGCTCTTGGCAGCGAGGCGTTCCAGCCTCTCTGCTGTTACCTGCCCTGAAGCTGAGGAACGTTTCACCGCAGATGCACCACTTGCTTGTGAAAGGACTTGCAGATACCCATGACTTTAGACACGCGTGTGTGTGCGGGCTGGGGGCGGGGGAGGGGGGTCTGCGCCGTGGAAGTGATGCCCCTACAGAAAGATCATCTAAGTGATCTTTGAACGGAAGAGAAGCTCATTCATTCCCAAGGGCTTTGGCTGGGGCCCCAACCGGGGAAGGAAATGTCTACTTCCCGGGCAGAGGGAGGAGCACACTCAGGGCGGATGGAGCACACTCTTCGCTCAGGTGCTTTCAAGTACAGAGTCAGCCGAGCAGAGGGGCTCTGGACCCTCCTTCAGAATCACCTGCAAAAGCCTCTAGGTCACCTGGAAACAGCGGCCACACTCCTTGTCCCTGGAATGACTCTGCAGTTCCCCACAGGGGGTATGCGGCCACCTAGGGGACATTCAGCAACATCTGGAGATGGTTTGGGTCCTCACGACTGGGGGAGGTGGGGAGACGGAGGGTTTTCTACTGGCATCTAATGGGCGAGGCCGGGGGGCAGCTACATTTGCTACGATATGCAGCACGGGCCCCCACAACAAAGAATTATCCCCAAATGTCAGCCGTTCGGCGGATGAGAACCTGGTCTAGCGGGTCACAAATCACATGAGATGTTGAATGGGGAACCACAGGGGTGGAGGGGCTACATTCAAATCCTCTCCCACCCTAGATGCCCAGTAGGAGGCAAGTGCACGGCGTCCATCGTCCCTCATGATGGTCCACGGTCGTGAGGCCGTTTCAGGGAGAGTTGAACAAGAGCGAGGCAGAACTTGTACCATTAGAGCTGCATGTCTGAATTGAGTGAGAATTCCTGAACAAGACAACCTCTCCCCAAAAGGTAGACATACAAACTCCTGGGGCCGCAGAGAATATCACCAAATGCCTTTGGATGTGATTTCTTCACATACTAGTCTATATCCCAGCTGGTAGGTGAGGAGGAATCTGATGGAATACCTCACAGCCTTCTTCCTAGATGCTCTCTTAGGTTGTGCTGAAGTGTGACTGGTACTCAGGGAAAGAGCAATAACTACTTTAGGAGACAATGTTCCATGAGACCATTTCATGACCTTACAGCAAACCAGTTTTCTTTCTTTTAACATGTTGGAGTGAAGGGCGCCTGGATGGCTCAGTCGGTTAAGTGTCCGACTTTGGCTCAGGTCATGCTCTCACAGTTCATGAGTTTGAGCTCCGCGTCGGGCTCTGTGCTGACAGCTCAGAGCCTGGACCCCACTTTGGATTCTGTGTCTCCTTCTCTCTGCCCCTCCCCTGCTCAATCTCTCTCTCTCTCTCTCTCAAAAATAAAATAAATGTTAAAAATAAAATTAACATGTTGGAGTGAAAAAAAAAAAAGCAACTGAACTATGTGCCCCAATCCTCAAAGAATTTCATCTGAGGGGCGTGTGGATGGCTCAGTCGGTTAGGCAACTGACTCTTGATTTGGGCTCAGGCCATGATCTCATGGTCGAGGGATCGAAGACCAAGTCGGGCTCTGTGCTAACAGTGCAGAGTCTGCTTGGGATTCTCTCTCTCCCTCTCTCTCTCTCTGGCCCTCGCTCGCTCTCAAACACCCTCTCTATTTCTCCGTCTCCCAAAATAAATACATACACTTTAGGGGCGCCTGGGTGGCTTAGTCGGTTAAGCGTCCGACTTTCGCTTAGGTCATGATCTCGCAGTTCGTGGGTTCGAGCCCCGCGTCGGGCTCTGTGCTGACTCCCAGCTCAGAGCCTGGAGCCTGTTTCAGTCTGTGACTCCCTCTCTCTCTGACCCTCCCCTGCTCATGCTGTCTCTCTCTCTCCTAGAAATAAATAAAAAATAAAATAAAATAAATAAATACATACACTTTAAAAAAAATAATTTCATCTGGGCTCCTCTTACAACAGGATGTTGGCAAAAGTTTTCTGCAAAGGGTCACATAGTAAATATTTCTGGCCTCGTGGGTCACACGACGCCTGTCGCCACTGCCGGACTCTGGCGCGGTAGCTTGGAGCCGCCGGGCACGCAGAAATGAATGGGCTTGGCCGTGTGCCAATAAAACTTTATTTACAAGAACAAGCCACGGGAGGGGCTTGGCCCCAGGACTGTACTTTGTCAACCCCTGTCTTGCAACATGGATTTCCTGAAAACAGTGCATTTAGGCAAAAAGAGCGGGGGAAAGTTCAGGAAAAGCCACTACGGAATACCAGCCATCACCCTCACCGTCTTACTAGAGCAGCCGTGGTCCATCCAAGGGGACCGAGGGGCCGGCAGGCGGGGGGATTTGAGGGGCACACGGGAGCCCCAGGGGAAGAGGCGCTCTGAGCACGTGGGGTAGCAGCCTGGCGCTGCTGCTCTCCTTGCTGTGCTCAGCTCCTTTCCTTGCTGCATTAGCGTGGGGAGGGAGGGAAGCATCAGGAGCCTGCTAAGAACAAACACTGTCCCCAGAGCTAATGGGCGCCACACACCACACCAGCGACCAGCCACACCACGGTGGGTCCACGCGGGGGCACCACAGAGGGCTCTCTCACCGAGAGGTGAGGAGGCTGGAGAGGTGGAGCGGTGGCCAGTGGTCAGCACCCACGGCTGGGACTCAGGCTGCGGGCCAGGGCCGGGCGTCCAACCTCGGCGAGAGCCGTTACCCTTCCTCTCTCCTTCCCCCTACGCCTCGTCAGGGTAGTATCTACAAAACACTGATCTTACCGTTTTTACTGATTCTAGGAAGTGACCCATCAACTCCTGAACTCTAATGGTCGAAGGTCCTTTCTGGGGCGTTCACTCCAGTGGCCGGTAACCATTCTCAGGTCCAAGGAGGAGGTCATCACCGCACCCAGCAGGTGACCCCTGCGGCTGGCCAGAGGGGCGTGGGCAAGGTGCCAGTCAGCAGCGACCACTGTGACTGTAAAGGCACCAGCCACCCAGGTGGGTTTGCAGTTTGCCGCTCACAGGGCCTGCCTTGCCCACAGGACTCCGAGTTCCCGGGGGCCGAGACTGCCACCAATTTATCCCCCGGTGCCTGGCAGGTTGGAAACATCCAGAAAGCATGGTGAGTGCACACATGGGTCTGTGGGAAGGAGACACAGCTAGGTTTTGGGGGAAGAGGGAGGCCAGAAGGGACTTGGGAGAGACGGGAAGAAGCAGGGCAGGGTGGGGTGGGGTGGGCCACCAGGCCTGCCTCCCATCCCGTCCCACAGCGTGGACCCTGTGTCCCCAGTGGGCCCTCTGCCAGCCAACCTCGCCGTGCTGGTCTCTGGGAAACCACGCCTCGCCTAGCAACAGCCGCTACGGGGTGTGCTGTCCTGATCCCCCAACAACAAAGCACCAACTGCCTGCCGCTCCGGATGGCGCTGCAAGGAAAGCAGGTTTACATCAAGGCCAAGCCAGGAGACAATCTGGGTTTTCAAAACCGGAGTCGTGGCGCGTGAGATGGCCGGCCTGACCGCGCGGGGCGTAGCTCGAGCCCGTGGCATCGTCGGGACGAGCCTCCGGCCCACGATGGCCCTTGTTCCCGAGATTCCTGTTGCTTCTGTTCCCATTCAGCTGGGTCAACATGTGCCTGTAAATTCCTCCCAAAAGGGAAATCATAACAGCATCAGCAGCCCCAGAAATGACAAACAACTCAAGTATGGAAAGGCAACTGCCAAGTATTCACCAGCACTCATATTGCACCAGAAAGAAAAAAAATCAGATAAGAAAAATAAACCGAGTTGTGTGCATATTTCCTCAAATATGTATCGCATTTCGTGGTTCCTTCCAGTCTTCAGTGTAATGAATACAGCCATTTGTCAGGGGTCACGGCCGGCAGCCCTACGGAGTGGTCTTGGACTGGGGAGACGTGCTGCTCGGCCCTCGCCCTTCTCGAGAGCACAGAGTGGTGCTAAAAGTCCAGAACATAGAGCCACGGACATTAATTTTCCCACCAACCCATCAGCCTGTGTCAGCATCTCTGCCGTATCGCACCGAGTTGGCACTATGTATTTGCACAATGCCCCGTCCTCCTCAGGTGGAAGATCCCAGGGTGACGTCTGGACGGCAGACGGTCCGAGGGCAGGGACAGCTGTCTCAGTCACCTACCCTCCCCTTGTTGCCACAGTTCAGCTCCACGGGTGAAGAGCAGCGGGATCAGAAGACGGGATCGGCTACGGAAGCCGAAGGCCAAGATCCGTGGAATGGATGCTGCTCAGGGAACTCAGGGGAGGCTGAAGAAGCCACACTTTGCTCAACAACACGGAGCTGGCCGGGGCACTAAGGTCTCTGCCAACCTCTGGAGGCCACTCTTGGCATGGCCATAAAAGCCACAGCCACAAACACGGACACGGCAAGGAAAGAATATGGTGAGAAACCAGCTCGCCTTTGCTTCTCAGACGCCTCAGAAGTTTCTAGAAGGTCATTGTCCTAACCCCTGAAACGAGAGGCCAGATTCCTCTGGCATTCAGGGGGGAATCATGGCTGAGCCGTGGGCTGGGGCCTGAAACCTAGTCCCTGTCTTCGAGGTGCTCAGCCTCCAATGACTGACACCAGGAATGGGCTCCAGGGAGACCAGCATGTGACCACTGTGTTCTCGAGTGGCTGAGGCAAGGGCTCTGGGACCCAGAGGGACAGAGCCTGAATCCACCCAAAAACACCACCGAGAACAAGGCCTCCCCAAAGGAGACCCAAGCACTCTCCATCACGTCTCTCTTCTTCCTCCCACGTGTGCACCCCGTGAGTGCTTCCCGTAGTGATGTGGCTGACAGGCACCCTGAGTGGTAGTGTGCCGTAGACCCTCATGGGCCCTCAGGAGTCACAAGGGGTCTCCCCGCCGCAGAAGACAGCATCAGGCACCCTTTCTGCTTAAAGGGAAGGAACACATTTCTCTGAAGTTTCCCAAACGTTTCCGTGGAGTGGCGACCATAAAATCCCCCAGGAGGAGGGATGTGGAGCTGGTGAGAGATTCAAATGCAAGGTCAAGTTTCCTCTGCCGTCTCACCTGCATTCACCAAGTGGACGGGCTCCTCCACCATCTTGCAATAACACCGACCTCTGGCCTCCTTTGTTTCCAGTCATTTTGCTACATCTTTTTAAAGGAATTCTGTTCTCTTTTTAGACCTGCTTACATTTAAACCCACTTAACTTTCTGTCTGAGCCTCTGCTCCTTCCCCACTGGCGCCTTCCTCAAAGTGGAGTCGGTACTGCTTGTTATAAAGTTGAGGGGGACAGGGGCCGTCTCCCCTGTGCCGTTCGGTCACAAGGTCTGTCGGCACTGAGGTTTGCAGGCCTGATTTTTCTTTGTTCAGTCGGCCTCATTCTTACCCACTTGGTTGAGTATACAAGAGAATATTTTCAGAATCCGCACAGGCTATTTCGAACTAAACAAGGGCAGGCATTAGGGCAGGTGATAGTTAGCAGGTAGCGACAGAGACGAAGGTCACCATTTACGGAGCACATGTTAGTTCACCGGCTGCGTTCCATCGTCCGTCTGCCGGCTACACGTGCTGGTCCGATCGGCAGAGAGGAAACAGAGGCTCAGAGATGTAAAGTGACTCGCCCACATCACAAGCGGTGACAGGACCAGGGTTTGAACTCACGTCTGAGCCCCTAGTCATCCCATAATCCCAAGCTGTCCTCGGTGAAGGTGTCATGCAGCAGAAGTTCCCTGCATTCGGCCTCACTACCCCTGAAGCCATCCTAATACTGTCTGTTTGGCTCTAGGACAGGCGGCCTTCCTCAGAAACGCACGTATCTTCACAAGTAAATCAAAATTAACTTTGCAAGCCCCCCTGACTTGACCAAAGACACCCCACGACATCAGCAAAGCCAAGGTTAGGAAGACCAGGTCTACCAAAGCGATGGAGCCCCTCTTAGGGACCAGTTCCCTTGGGAAGGAGGCAGCCTTCCTAGTGCTCACAGCCCTGGACTGTGGGCCGGGCCCAGCGGGAAGGCCTGGGGTTCAGTTCGCCAAGGTGGGTCGGACGGGGCATGGGACACTCTGGCACAGGTGCCTGATGTGGCCCCTTCCCCTCATTCAGTGAGTTGTAGACAAAACAAATTAAATAAGCATCTCCTTTTCTAAAAAAAGTTTTTTGTGTTTACTGATTTTTGAGAGACAGAGAGAGGGAGACAGAGTATGAGCAGGGGAGGGGCAGAGAGAGGGAGACACAGAATCCCAAGCAGGGTCCAGGCTCCGAGCTGTCAGCACAGAGCCCAGCGCAGGGCCCGAACTCACAAACGTGAGATCACAACCTGAGCCAAAGTCGGACGCTTACCGACTGAGCCACCCAGGTGCCCCTGCTTAAAGTCCCACTGAGCACGGGTACAAAGGAAGAGCAGACAAGCAAACAGTGACAGCCCTGAAGCCATAGCCCTCCCCCTCCAGAGCCCCCCAGCTGGCTGCACATGTCCTTGCAATTCACCTCAAAGAGTAAATGTTTTCAAAGCAAAGCCAATGGGCTTATTTGCCACCCTTTAACTGGGTGACACCCAACCCCCAGAGGATGTTATCTTTCACAGTCCGTGAAAAGAGCCAGACTTTCACACAGACTGGTATTCTGGGGTCCAGCCTCCATGTTCTCAAAGCACCCCAAGTCCGCCAGGGTCAGGTCTGGGAGGGCTGCCTCAGTTTCACTGTTCGCCTGTTTTGCGGGTGTCCAAGTGACTGCCCCCGAGGGTTGTCCTAGGACTTAATCAAAACCATGTTAGTAGATGGTTAGTACTCACCAATCCCACTGACCAGTGATGACCGTGAGTTGGTTGGAATCAGCCCATTTCTAACCACTTTGTGTCAGTGTCTGTTTTCCAAACACCGTGTGCGCACGCACGTGTGTGTATGTGTGTGTGCATGTACGTATGCATGAGGGGGAGTCATACTCAGTTAAGCCCCCAGAGAATTGGGGCCACTTTAGACACAGAATGCTATTTAATTTTCCAGTGCAAGCATAGGTCTCTAACAAACTCACTAAATGAAAACTACACAAATATATTTTTCTGTGGTTTCTTTTTTCTACATATTACATTGGCTGATTATTTCTCTACGCAATGAATGGGTGTTTGTTTCACAATTTTTCAGAGGCTCAGAGGAGAATGCTCCATAACCCTGACATAATGTCATTTTTAAATGGGTAAGCAGCTTAAAACTCTGCCACAGATTGTGGTTTCTCAGGTATTTATGGTTACTCATAATAGGTAATTCATGCACGATGAGCAGAGAGCTGCATGCTATCGAGAAGAGGCGTGCCGTCCGTGAGAGCAGCACCGCCGCCTGCCCGGGGCAAAGGGCTGACAAGTCCGTCCTCGGGTACCAGTTCATAAACGCAGAAGCCAGAATTCATCTTCATTGTACCGCACACACAGCAGACGACTTGTTTGCAATGACATCACCCAGTGGCCTTTAAGGATTTGATTGCATTGGCACTTACTGAAAAATAAGTGGTTGACTTACCTTGAATTTTTGCCTCAGGACGTGGCCGAATACAAGTTAGAGCCAAGTATAACCTTTTTAAGGAAGGCTAAATTGAGACAGAAAGGCCAGGATTTTTCTCCAAGTGGAAATGGAGATTTATTGTTTAAGAAATTGCCTTAATGTTGCCATTGAGGCTTCATAAAGTCTCACGAGGGGGGGGGGGGAGCTAGTCCACAGATTCGGTACCAATTATTATGTTTATCAGGGTAAATAACCAATCTATGAGTCATATGGCTCTACATCACCCTGTCCAGGGTCGAGAGAAACATCACAAATTAAGCAGGATCTGGAAAAAGCTTTTGGTGTGTTCATGATGCCTGCGGGGTGAGGGGGAGGTGCGGGGGTAGGGAGATTTCAGCAATCACCTCAGAGGGAAATTCGCCTCTTCTTACAACCAAATCCTTTCTGGTATTTCTAAAATGAAAACTAAGATTTTGTCAAAATGTCACAGAGCCCGGCTAACAAGATCAACCCAAGACAGAAGTAATTGGGCAGCTGGTCTTCTTGACAGAAAGCAAGAATGTAAGCAAACAATGGTGTTATTCGTAGTGGGTATTTATTTCCAAGCTCGGGCTGTGAGAGGGGTGTGGATGATATACAATTTTGACCTATAAATGTGCTTTAAGAATCTATCAGGTTTTCAATGACTACATTTCCTAATTGTTATCAAGGTTTCATTTTGGACCAAAAAAGGAAATATTTGAATAAAATACTGGTCTCAGGACAAAACTCCAAAGTCTGGTTGCTTTGGTTCATAATGTCTCACGAACGGTATTTGAAAAGACAGTGGCTAGCTCTTTGATGTGTTATGGAGTGCTGTAAATTTCTTCTGTCAGCTTGCAATGGAAGGAAGAGCCCGTTGGGAACAACCTACTCTTTCCAGAAATGTTTGTGCATATTCATCCACAACTGGACACACAGGTGGAGACTTCCGGCATCTCTACGTTCCTAAACACGCTACGTGGACCCAGGAGCAAAAAAAGCACAGCCTGTACAGATCTTTCTATAATTTAGTGATAGACCGACTAGGTGCTTTGTGGCGGGGGAAGGGGAGGTATTTAAGACACTTAAAAATACTTTTAGGGGCGCCTGGTGGCTCAGTCGTTTGAGCGTCCGACTTCGGCTCAGGTCATGATCTTGCGGTTTGTGGGTTCGAGCCCCGCGTCAGGCTCTGTGTTGATGGCTCAGAGCCTGGAGCCTGCTTCCGATTTTGTGTCTCCCCCTGTCTCTGCCTTTCCCATGCTCATGCTCTGTCTCTGTCTCTCAGTAATAAATAAACATTAAAAAAATTTTTTTAAATATCTTTAAAAAATTAAATTTAAGACATTAAAAAAATCCTTAAAATAATTAGATCCGAAAGCCACAGAATTTCATTTGCCATCGCTAGAGACTCACATATCCTTAAGGATGTGATGATGGTTCATTTTCCGTTGGTACTGGGTTGAATCATGTCCTGTCCCACTTAATTCACGTCCATCTGGAAGCTCAGAGGGTGATCTTATTTGGAAGTAGGGTCCTTGCAGATGTGATTATTTAAGATGAGGTCCTACTGGACTTGACTGGGTCCTTGTAAGTGGAGATGTGAGTTGGGAAAGTTTGCTTCCCTTCCTGAGCGCCTCTCTGAGCCCTCACGTTACTACCACACATATAGCACTCCCCACGCCAGGCGTGTGCGCTTTTTCCCACACCAGGCAATTCTCTGAGGCTCCAGCTCAGTGCCCCACGATTCAGCTCAATTCTGACACTAACCGGAGAGAGTGCAGACCCCACAGGTTAGAGGCGCAGTCCCACACGCGGGTCCCCCGCTCCAGATGCCAATCAAGAGTAATGATCCTACAGGTCACTCGCAACTTCTATCCAACTTGGCTATAAATCAGAGGCTCCACGGACCCTCTCCTTGGATTCGATTGTTTGCCAGAACAGCTCTCGGAACTCAGGGACACGCTATGTTTACTGACCAATGACATAATAAGGTATGTGATAAAGAATGCAGATGAACATGCAGGCGCAGAGTCACTTAGGGCAGGGTCTGGGAGGGTCCTGAGTGCAGGCGCTTCTATTCCCACGCACTTGGGTCGCATCATCTTCCCAGGACATGTGGGTGCGCACGCCTACGTGAGAGAGCCTCCATAAAGATCCCCACGGTATGGGCCTTGGAGAAATTCCAGGTTGGTGAACCAGCCCCCGTGCAGGAGCCCACAGAGACTCGCCTCACAAAACACATGCCTTCCTATCACGCAGGAAATTCCAAGGGTTTAGGAGCCCTAGGTCAGGGATGGGTCAAAGACCAAACACTAGAACAAAAGGTGCTCCTGGGCTCTTATCGGTTAGGAAATTCCAAGGGGTTTAGAAGCTCTGTGCCGGGAACCAGGAGCAGAGAGCAACATACATATTTTCTCTTATTTCACAAGGAGACAGATGCAGAAGCTCAGATACACAGCGGAAGGAGCCACGTGACTGCAGAGAGAAGGAGGCCGAGGTCGGAGTGACGTGTGTCCAAATCGAGGATTGGCCAGGGTCGCTGCCACAAGCAGGAGCCAGAAGAAGCAGGGAAGGCTGCTTCCCCAGGGCCCTGAGAGAGAGAGAACAGCCCTGCTTTAACTTCAGACTTCTGGCCTCCAGAATCATAAGAGAATAAGTTCCTCTTGTTTGAAGTCACCCGATTTGTGGTCATTTGTCACGGCGGCCCCAGGAAACACGCTGTCGAAACATGTCTTTTAGCGACATGATTTATCCCTGCTCCCACATTTGGACAAAGACATGAAACTGTGTGGTATGACCGAGACCATCCGAATCTTCTGCAGTGCGTGGCCTCCTCGGTGGCATATTTAGAATCCCCCTGCCCAAGCTGTCCCCCAACCCAATGAAACCAGAAAGTCTGGACGTGGGACTAATGCATCAGTGTTTTTTGATGCTCCCTGGGGAAGTAGCATGGTTTTCTAACAAAACCACGGGATTCAGGGGCAGTCAACTCTTGGTTTGATTTCTGGCTTCGCTACCTATTAGCTGTGTCCCTACACAAGCCACGTAGCTTACCTGATACTTGCTTTTTCAAACTGAAAATGGAACTGTAGAAGATAGGTCTTTTTAAGTATGTAAGAGATCTAAAAATGCCAGGCTGGGGGCAGACATCTGATAAATGCCACTTCCCTTTCATTCTCCTGACACACAGAGAGGCAATTTAGCAGGATGCGTAGAAGGCCAGGCTCTGGAACAAGACTGAAGGCAATCAAATTCTTACTCCCATCACTGACTGGCTGTAAAACCCCGGGGCCTTGCTCTGTGCTCAGTTTCCTTATCTATAAAATGGGGCCTTGGAGAGTCATTACGAAGGTAAGTGGGATAATAAGATGATTTGATGCCACTAAAGCACTTAAACCAGTGTCTGGCACTGTAAGCATTCAATAAATGTCAGCTTGTATTATAGACATAATCTGGTAACACTCCACACGCCTCGCCCTTGATAATGTGGAATTCCGAGGGGCAGGGTTCTACACCACTTCCCTTCCCAATCAGAAGCCAAGTGATGCGTGCTGAAAGAGCCAGATTAGACCCGGAGTCCAGAAACCTGAGCCCTGAACTCAGCTAAGATACCACGGAGTTTCTGTCACTTTCCCTGTTGCCCGTTTCAGAGCCCGATTTGTGAAAGGAAGGGTTTAATAAGCTGATCTCTGTGAACCTTCTAACATCAAAAAAAAAAAAAAAAAACCCAAAAACCTGTGATTGTCCAAATATTATCAAGTGATAGATGGGATTTTGGAGTGTGTTTGGCACACAATCCCAATGCTTTTATGGCATTTTGAGGTTAGGAGTCACAAAAATCTGGTATTAATAAGGAATCACAGTCTGTTTTATTATAGCAAAGGACAATCCTGGACATTTTTTAAGGTGTTTCAGGCCACAGGTACTCAAATCCACCACGGGACTGCTGACCGGACCTGGGAAAAGACATCAGCTTTACTGTACCGAAGTTTCAATCCTAGGAAGCTGCCCTACATGGGAACATTCATCCCTACAATCTCTCTAATGGGCGATTGGGTAACGTGTACCAATGAACTAAAAATACCCAGTCATTACAGTTCTAATAATCTATCCTGAGGAAATACAACTAAAGTCGGCTTTCTCACGTTTGGGGGATTAGCAGTTAGACAATCCAGTCGGTTCATTACAAAGTCAGTTAACTAGGGAAATCATACACAATGGCAAAAATACACAAAAAGATTTTATTGTAAGTTATACCATGTGGATTCACTCATCAATCTTACAATGAAGGAGGGAGGCTGTTCGCAGAGTTTCGATCTCTGATGGGAATCCCCTGGTACCTTTCTTACACAGAACACACCCATACGATTCGTGTTCTTCATTGTGAGCCGGCACAGACTCAAAGATATTTGGGTATCGGTGTGAAAACAGACTCCTCTTAGAGTTCACATTTTTCTTCTCACATAGATTACAGGGCCTGGCCCATAACCTTCTTTGATAGCCATTCCCTTATTTCACTTCATTGAGTCTCCCCAGAGCATTCAAGTTCATTTGCAGAGTTTTTGTAGAAGCAACTTCTCTCTTTCGTTTTTTGCACTCATGTTTCATAGGCTAGTAGTCCAATCAGAAATCACAACAACGGGCATGAACAGGTCTGAGAATAAACGCTATTAGCTGTTGGGAAGCATAGACTCCCCCCCCCCCCCAACAGCAGGACAGAGAGAAAAGTAAAAGTTCTTGCGCAGTCAGCATTGTAGAGCACGGAGTAAACATCAATTAATCCAGCCAATCAATTAAGCGGAGAGGTGGGTATGAGATTGCTTCTGTAATCACATATGTCAGCAAACATTTAAGTGCAAAGAGGTTTACTGGAATAGTAACTGAGACAGGCAAAAAATACGGAAACAAAACATATCCATATGATGAATGTCTGTGCATATATATATACAGATATCTGCTACATATAAATACATATGCTTACATACTCTATATATGATCTAATGGTATGTAGATATTAACGGCTATGGTTTAAAAACGATTTTATGATATACAAAATGCCCATGACATAATCATGGTGATTCGTTCAATATTTACTCAGCAATAGAACATTTTATAAGTTTGAAATAAAATTTTTATTTAGTATCTTTTTAAAAATTTTTGTTAATGTTTATTTTTGAGAGAGAGAGAGGGAGAGACTGAGTATGGTTGGGGGAGGAGCAGACAGAGAGGGAGACATAGAATCTGAAGCAGGCTCCAGGCTCTGAGCTGTCAGCACAGAGCCCAATGCAGGGCTCAAACCCAGTGACCGCAAGATCATGACCTGAGCAGAAGTGGGACACTTAACCAACTGAGCCACCCAGGCGCCCCTATACTTGGTATCTTTTTTATAAAATTAAAAGTGGGTCAAGGATTAGACAAATGGGACCAATGTCATCCTGAGCTCTTCATCTATCTTGACCTTGATTTCTTTGGAACTTAGGCATTGTTCTTAAGAAAGGCACATATGTCAGATAGGTTGCCTAAAAATAAAATGTATTTACCTTCAATAAAAGGAGGGGGGCATCTTTTCCTCTTAGTACGGCCAAAGGAGCTTCTCCTGGACCCCACTGTCCTGCAGATAACAACTATCAACTCTGAAGAAGCATATAAAACAAGAATTTTGTTTACCGGAGGATGAACAAAATGTAGGAAGACTCTAGGGGAAGTCAACATTTGGAAGGAGGAAGATGGATGGACCTGGAGGGTATTATGCTGAGTGAAATAAGTCAGTCAGAAAGACAGATACCATATGTTTTCACTCATATGTGGATCTTGAGAAACTTAACAGAAGACCATAGGGGGAAGGAAGGGGAAAACAGAGTTTCAAACAGAGAGGGAGGGAGGCAAACCATAAGAGACTCTTAAATCCTGAGAACAAACTGAGGATGGATGGCGGGTAGGGGAGAGAGGAAAATGAGTGATGGCACTGAGGAGGGCACTTATTGGGATGAGCACTGGGTGTTTCATGGAAGCCAATTTGACAATAAGTTATGTTTTTAAAAATGGCACCAGATGACATTTCCATTTTTAAAAATAGCTTTCAGCCTGAGGGCAACTCAAACTTGTCACCACGGAAGTGACTAAATCCCTGAGAAAACCAACTGCTTCTCTGGCCTGAAGAACAAAAGGACAGGATTCAGGACAATGAGGGTCACTGGAGAGCAGGGGGAATCCAGAGAAGAGGCACTCCAAACTCCCTAGGTGACACCTGGACCTTATATGTGGCAAGTGGATTCAAAGCAGCTAAGCTAAGGATAAAGAACTGAACTGATATTGTAGCTATTCCAAGAGAAAGAGTTTGCAATTTAAGCTCAATCATGCTAAGAGTCTACTTAAAAAAAAAAAAAATCAACATTCTTCAGAGAAATATAACAGAATCCAGATGGCATTCACAATGTCCATTTTTATTCCAAAATTATGCAACACAGAAGAAACATAAAATGAGACCTATTCTCCAGAGGCAAAAAAATAATATATGGAGACCAATTCCAAAATGATCTGAATGTCAAAATTATAAAACAATGATTTAAAAACAAAGGCAGAAATGAAAATATGTTCTCTGTGCATGTAAAGATAGGAAATGCCACCAGATAAATAGAAACTGTAAAAAACAATAGGGGCACCTGGGTGGCTCAGTCAGTTCAGCGTCCAACTTCGGCTCAAGTCATGATCTCATGGTTTGTGGGTTTGATCCCCCTATCGGGCTCTGTGCTGACAGCTCAGAGCCTGGAGCCTGCCTCAGATTCTGTGTCTCCCTCTCTCTATGCCCCTCCCTCACTCATGCTCTCCCTCTCTCTCTCCCTCAAAAGAAATACACATTAAAAAAATAAAAATAATCAAATAGAAATTCTAAATCATCAAAATACAATATATGAAATAAAATCCTCATCATATATGCTTACCAGCACAATGGACATGAGAGAGGAATGTCAGCGAGCTTGGAGACATGCCAACAGAAATTATCCAATCTGAGAAATATAAAGAAAAACAATAGAAAATATTAATAGAGTCCCAGAAGTCTGTGGGACAATACCAACAAGTCTATCCTAATTGGTGGAATGAAGAGTGAGAGAATAGGATGAAAAACATTTGGGGAAAAAAAAGGTCCAAAATGTCCCATATTTGATAAAAGAGGTACACTTACAGATAAGAAGGTCAGAGACCCTCAAGGAGAAAAACTACACAGAAAACCACACCTGGGTACCCAGAGGCTACGGTTCCAAATCGAAGATAAAGAGAAGATTATGAAAGGAACCAGAGAAAAGTTAGATGCCACATACAGAAGAACAATTCAAATGACCTCCAGTTTATCATGACAGGCCAGAATACACTAGAACAACATCTCCAAAATCCTAAATAAAAAAAAATTAAATTTATTCACTCAGAATTCTATGTTCAGTAAATATATTCTTTAAGAATCCAGACAAAATAAAAACAATTTCAGATAAAAGATAACTGAGAACTCACTGCCAACAGAGCTGCACTAAGAAATGTTAAAGGAAGCTCTTTTTTCTTTTAAAAATTTTTTAATGTTTATTTATTCTTGAGAGAGAGAGAAGGAGAATGAGTTGGGGAGGGGCAGAGAGAGAGGAAAACACAGACTCTGAAGCAGGCTCCAGGCTCTGAGCTGTCAGCAC